TGAGAATTCGAATCTATACCAAAATTTGGATACAGGTTGTACAAATAATTAAATTTTAATCCTCAATATCATGAAAACCAAGTCCTTCACAAAATAATGAATACAATTACATCAAAGGTTCGCTAGTGCGAGTCTGTCCTTATGGTGTCACGTTTATGTGATTTATTCATGGTACCTTGTCCGACAGGAACACGTGAGGCGAAAGTCACGAATGGTGAGCCACGGGGATCATGGACCATGTACTACTGCCATATTAAGGTGCACCTAACATGACTTTGCTTATTCATGGCTGCATCACATACATTTTCATGGAGGTGGGGCCTCCTTGATTTTGAAGTCCATTAAATGTTGGGACCTGACAACAAGGTTTAGATTTTTTATTTTTTTTGGGTACTGCTACTTGTTGGAATCTAAACCTCATTTTTTTTATTATTTCTTAAAAAAAAAACCTCATTTTTATGGACAATATTTTATGAATAAATGATTTTAATTAGGTGTGTTCTAGTAGAAGAAATTGTGTGATGTTGGTATATTCAATAGAGTAATGTTATTTTGATATAATCTCTTCATTTAATTATTTATGATTATTTGATTGATATTGGGTATTAATATACTTTTGGACCTGTTATCAACTTCATGGTAGTGTTAGATTAAAGTAATAGATTATGTCAGCAAATTAGGTATAAATAGTATTTTAGATAGTAGCATGTAGTAATCTCAATGGATAATTCAAGTGATAATATGAATGAGATATAAACGCAGAACGTCCTGAGTTTGAATCTTGACAATTTTTTGGGGCCAGACCTCCTTAATACACTAGTTCTGACATAGATGTCTTGCTTTTAACTGAATCGAAGAGAAAATTTGTTGAGATGCGCGTAAATTGATCCAAACACCCTTGACCGTTAAATCCAAAAAAATTTGTGTTGGTACGTGTTAATTCTCAAGTAGTGGAGAAAGTGAAATCTTAATATTTTAGTGGTTATAAGAATTAGTGGAGATATTGATATGTTCACGGCAGGAGTTATTGTTGAAATCTATATAAATAGCGAATAATATTATTTAAGTATAACTTCTCGACTTAGTCAAACAACATACTTAGAGTGATAATGTGTCCTAATTCGTATTACGGTTCAGTGCCAATCTAATAATGATGATTTATTATGTCAATAAATTAGATTAATAAATTAAGTCTAACACATATAAAGTAGTGTAAGAAATAAGAACAGTCGAGTTGAGCCGAGTTTTTCTCAGGTGTGATTGCAATCTCCTTTAAGTGAAAATTAGAGTATATTTGAGTGTTAACATATTCTACTTCTTTTCGTTTTATTTCTAATCATTTTAACTATTTTCTCACTAGTATAATATTGGAGTAATTTCAACACTACTTGCTACTGTATCGACTTTACCAGTGTTTGCCACCAAAAATATCCGATACTATATTCGTATAGTCGGTATTATAATCGATACTAAACTTATGTGGAACAACACTAGGAATCCCAAATTGCATCCCAAATAATTCTTTGTGGTTTAATTGACAACTTTATTTTATGATACAAACGGATAAGACATCATAGAAACACATGTATACATAACCAATCCTCTGTTCTTGAGTTGGCTGGTGAAAGAAAAAATTAATCAAATGTCATGATTTCTTGCTAACTCAATGCCTATCAAATTCTCCTCCTGGGCATCAGGCACATTCATTTGGTCATTTGCTCTTCTAATAAAGCTTTCTCTAAAGAACTGAAACCCAAATCTCGAGTAGCATTGGATGAGGAGCAAAGAAGCCCAACTGCAAACTCTTCTGTTGATCAGTGAGGTTTGAATGAAGCCGGTTATCGGCCGGTGCCTGTCGAGAAGACGAGCAATGGTGATTAACAATGCAGCTGCAGAAATGCCACCAGAGACGATGAACAGACCGGAGAAAGGCTCGTAGTCTAAGCTTGGGTCATCGGATATGCCAACTGATGAGGAGCAGTTTGAAAAGGAAAGCATGTGTTTCTCCAATGTGTTTATCTCTCCACTTTCTGTTACCTTGAGAATTGCCTCTGAAATATCAGTGGCCAGTGGAGAACCCTTTGGAAAGACCTGAGAATGAGAAACAAATTTAAAGAGTAATTAGTTTTAGTATACAAGCAAATGGGGAAATTACTACTAAGAGTAGGGTACAAGCAAATGGGCTGATCGATTCAAGATTCAAGATCAGAAATCCAGATTTAACTCGAAAATCAATTTGGGTTCAACTAGAGTAATACTCAAATTCAATTTTAATTTCAATCATGTTTAGTATGACGAGAAAGGGTTTATTATAGATAGTGCAATGAAAATTGTGAAACTAATTATGCCTATAAGCATGTGCCCACGAAAATAGCCCAACTGTTGAGCCTACTCTGTCACAACGACACCACGTAGGATGCGAGCCACCAAATTGACCGGGTTGAATTTGAATTAAACCCCAACTAGTGGGTTCGACTCGATTCGAATAAAATTCGACCTAAAAAATACGATTTATTTATATGTAAAATAATCAAGTTGCTCGGGGTTGGCTCATTTTCTAAACGAGCTGAGTTTGACCAATTTTTTTAGCTCATTTAAAAAAACGAGTTTGACAGACTCGACTTGATTATCAACCCTAGATGCATCCTAACTCAAAGAGGCAATGAAAATTTTGAATATTACAAAGCCAAAACCACCAAGCTTGAAGCTAGCCCCAGCCCTGGTATAGCCATCACAATATTTCGCAAAGAAGACTTTGGCATGTGGATCCACAAAAAAAGCTGCTTTAATCTCTCCTCTCTGAAAGGCTTCTGGGTAGTCATTGATTGAGTTGATGCTCTTTATATTCTCTGGCTTGAAGTGCAAAACATTCACCAAATACCTCACAATAAAAGAGTTGCCATTGCACCCAACAGCTGCGTTTGTTGTTTGAAGGTATTCAATGTCTATTACAGATGGTTGGAGCCTTTGGACAGTCATCATGGAGCTAAGAACTGCAGTGAAACATGCTGAGACTATCACAATTACAAAAAACCATGTTGCTAGCACTGCCCGAGATAGGTTGCTTTTAATGGATTCTCCTGCAAAATTTGATTACGTGTAAGTAACTGAAAAAAACCGACATTTCCCATAATATAATGGAGCAACGCTAGGGATCCCAAATAAAATCCCAATGACTCTCGACTTTTGAAATGTTTTAACAGGACGCATTCATCCAAAGACTTACTTATTTGGGATTCATAGTATTTTTCAATATAAAGGTCACATATGATGGGCTTCAATAAGTGATGAATCATATATAGGGTTGCTTTTAATGGATTCCCAACTGCAAAAATTGGCCATGTACAAGTAATTGCAAAAAAAGACATTTCAATTTATATCAAGTAACATACAGTGTGCTTTTTTTTTTTTTTTTCGTTCAACAGTAAAGGCGGGGGTTTGGGTCAATTTACGCTCACCTTGACTAATTCCCTTTTCGGTCTGATCAAAGATAAACCATCCATATCGAGACTAAGATATTTATGAAAGATAAATCTCTCATAACTTAGCCCCAAAGAATTGCTAAGATTTGGACTCAGGACGTTTAAGTTTACAGCTCGTCCTCGTTACCACTTAAGCTATCCCTTGAGATTTTTATATAGTATGCTTCAATAACCCTAAAAGATAGATCAAGTGATAATAAGGACAAGTTATAAACTTAGATGTACTGAGTTCGAATCTTGAGATGAATTGTCTTTGACCCATAAAAAAAATTAGTCGAGGTACAAATGACACCAGAGACAGTTGAACCAAAAAAAAAAATTGTATGCCTCAATGACTGATGACAGGCAACTTGGAAGCCCATGGACTGAGGGATGAAGAATTTCCCAACAAAACTTCAATAAATTTCATGTCGGAGTGGGTACGAAATTGAAGCTGAATATAAGATATTCTCAATATCAAACTCTTTCAAATCAACTTTATAATCCTTACTGACAAAAAAAAATAATCCGTTGAATTAGTTAAAGTTGGTACTTACTTTGGGAAAAGGAGAGAACAGTCATAGAAAACCAAAGCATTTCTCCAATTTGGTGAGGAAATGAACCTTCGTACTCTGGATTGTTGTTTACATGCTCAATCAACCAGATGACACACCCTGTGGCTATGCTTATTATGGCCATCAACACCCACATTTTCGTTTTAAAGGCTTTCATGAACAGAAACCTTTCCTTCTGTATATCTGGTTTCACTGTCACTACCATAACTAGTCCAGATTCTATGTAAGGCTGTGAAAATTCTGCATACTTGTACCGCTCCGCCATTATTTCTGTATCACCAACTGCTGCATCCAAGCTCTTATTTTTTTTTTTACAAAAGAAATATTCATCGGTGTCAATCAAAATGCGATAAACATGTCAATCAATGGGGACCAACTCAGCAGAATCTTGTCTCAACATTTTTAAGATCAATTGCATAAATCATGTTTTGCCATTGTGTTTTATCGTGGTTTTAAGTCATAGAACAAAAAATACTGGCTATATGTGTTGTTGGACACAAAGGTATTCAGAAACTTCCAAAGCAAAATAATAAATCACTTTGTTACATTTGCACAATTGGAAAGATTGGAGGACTATTGAACTATACGAGCTGAAATCCAATATCTAATTATTCAAAGCTGCAATCAAATTCGTGTTTACTTTCTAACATAAGGTTGAACTCGGTTTATCTTATACAAATACAAGCCAAACTTGTATAACTAATTTGAAACTCGTCACGATCCCAAGCTAAGGCCTGAGATCTCTTTGTCAACAAACAAGTTGAACCCAACTACTCACAGGCGGGTTAGTTGGGTTCCTTTCTACCACTACTCTTCATTTTCAATAATACTATTTAGACTTAATTCGTCGGCTTAACTTATCATTATCTTTTGATTAGCAGCAAATTCACTTAATATTGTGATCGATTATTCTATTGATATCGGATGTAAGTGATGGTATCATGAAATGAAAGACATACCTTGTTATGAACTTCAGCTACCATTTCATCATAGGAGCCATAGTAGGGAACTAACACATATGGCAAGTCATAAGGTAGCCTATTCACAGCAGCTTCAAAAACTTCAATTGAAAATCCGGTCACCGACGTTTCATTCCGGCTTGGATCATAATTAACATTCACAAATTGATTGAAAGCACCCCTCGCCGGAACACCAATCTTCATCGGTTTCTCTCCCTCACCTAAACTCCATCCCTTTGGAACACTTTGGTCACCGCCTGGCCAGTAAATTGAACCCAACTCTCCCACTAAACCATTGCCTACTCTCATCTTCATTCCAACCCGTTTGATGAAGTCCTGTGAGAAACCAAACAATGGTGACCAGAATGTTACTTCTCTATAGCTTTTACCAATCACATTAATGATCCTAAAGATTGGTAATTCTGATAATTGGCCTTTATTGAATCTTATTCTCCCAGATAAACCTTCAAAATCACTAGACAAAATGTGATTTATTAACCCTTTTGAGTTTCTCTCTCCTTGTGAAATTTGCATGGCTCTAGCAATGGCCAACGTTGCATCATAAGCTCGAAGTGCAAATATACTTGGGTCTGAATGTTCCTCTTCTTCTGGGTGTTCTGACCTAAAATTCCTGCGAAATCTGAGTCTGAACTGTCTATAAGACTCAGTTGTGTCTATGAAGTTGGTCTTGACACCAATTACACCTTGCATGTTAGAAATGGCGGATGGATCAACAGAATCAAGAAGGCTTGCAATGTCATCTGTAACAATCCATACGTACCCTTTCTCCATCATTCCCATTTGCTTTGCCTTCTCGAAAAGAATGGCGGCAAAGTCTAAAGAAGACTGTATGAGTATAAACACCCTATTGCTCTTGCTTCTGAGCTTCTTCAGCTCTTCTTCAATGAAGTTTCTTGTGTTTGTTAGAGAAGNGACTAATTCCCTTTTCGGTCTGATCAAAGATAAACCATCCATATCGAGACTAAGATATTTATGAAAGATAAATCTCTCATAACTTAGCCCCAAAGAATTGCTAAGATTTGGACTCAGGACGTTTAAGTTTACAGCTCGTCCTCGTTACCACTTAAGCTATCCCTTGAGATTTTTATATAGTATGCTTCAATAACCCTAAAAGATAGATCAAGTGATAATAAGGACAAGTTATAAACTTAGATGTACTGAGTTCGAATCTTGAGATGAATTGTCTTTGACCCATAAAAAAAATTAGTCGAGGTACAAATGACACCAGAGACAGTTGAACCAAAAAAAAAAATTGTATGCCTCAATGACTGATGACAGGCAACTTGGAAGCCCATGGACTGAGGGATGAAGAATTTCCCAACAAAACTTCAATAAATTTCATGTCGGAGTGGGTACGAAATTGAAGCTGAATATAAGATATTCTCAATATCAAACTCTTTCAAATCAACTTTATAATCCTTACTGACAAAAAAAAATAATCCGTTGAATTAGTTAAAGTTGGTACTTACTTTGGGAAAAGGAGAGAACAGTCATAGAAAACCAAAGCATTTCTCCAATTTGGTGAGGAAATGAACCTTCGTACTCTGGATTGTTGTTTACATGNTAAAAAAAAAACAATAAATCACTTTGTTACATTTGCACAATTGGAAGATTGGAGGACTATACGAGCTGAAATCCAATTGCTAATTATTTTAAGTTGCAATCATGTTTGAGTTTACTTTCTAACACAGGGCCAAGCTCGCTTTATCTAGTCAAACATCTGGACCATTTGAGCCTTAGTATGAAACAAAAAATAAAAATACAAGTTGTACTTGTACAACGTATTTGAAGCTCGCCACGATCCCAAGTCAAGCCTAAGCTCTCTTTGTGAATGAACTAGCCGAGCCCAACTAATCGAGTGTGGTTTAGTCTGGTTCCTTTTTGCCACTACTCTTTCTGTTGGTGAAATTTCAATAAAATTGAAAAACAAAATACAAAATAGTAAAACTTGACATGAAATAAATTAGATTGAAGTGCTTGTATCTTGCTCTCTTTAACTCTCATGCATATATACATAATGTTTACCTACGTACATTGTACATGCATTTCATAAATATAATTCATGCATAATAAGAGTTATGAATACATGTACCCAATGATCCATTAATCCACTGTCAGTCCAATAAAAATGATAATGAGGTCAGTAAATTTGGCCCCTAAATTTAGGTCCAACAAGGATGGCAAAGAATCAAACTCATGTTGTCTCACATTGATCTGATATAAATGATGTTAATGGAATGAAAGACATACCTTTTTATGAACTTCAGCTACCATTTCATCATACGAGCCATTCCAGGGAACGAACACATATGACAAGTCATAACGTAGCCTCTTCACAGCAGCTTTAAAAACGTCAATTGAAAATCCGGTCACCTTCGTTTTATTCGTACTTGGATCATACCAAACATTCACAAACTGGGTGAAAGCACCCCTCGCCGGAACGCCGATCTTCAACCGTGTCTCTCCCTCACCTAAACTCCATCCCTTTGGCACCGTTCGCTCACGGCCTGGCCAATAAATTGAATCCAAGTCTCCAACTAAACCATTGCCAATTCTCTTCTTCATTTCATCCTGTTTGATGAAGTCCTCAGAGAAACCAAATACTAGTGACCAGAATGCCACTTCTCTATAGCTTTTACCAATCACATTTATGATCCTAAAGGTTGGTAATTCTGATAATCGGCCTTTATTGAATCTTATTCTTCCAGATAAACCTTCAAAATCACTAGACAAAATGTGATTTACTAACCCTTTTGGTTTTCTCTCTCTTTGAGAAATTTGCATGGCTTTAGCAATGGCCCATGTTGCATCATAAGCTCGAAGTGCAAATATACTTGGGTCTGGATGTTCCTCTTCTTCTGGGTGTTCTGACGTAAAATTCCTGCGAAATCTAATTCTAAACTGTCTATAAGACTCAGTAGTGTCTATGAAGTTGGTCTTCAAACCAATTACACCTTGCATGTTAGAAATGACGGATGGACCAACAGAATCAAGAAGGCTTGCAATGTCATCTGAAACAATCCATACGTACCCTTTCTCCATCATTCCCATTTGCTTTGCCTTCTCGAAAAGAATGGCGGCAAAGTCTAAAGAAGACTGTATGAGTATAAACACCCTATTGCTCTTGCTTCTGAGCTTCTTCAGCTCTTCTTCAATGAAGTTTCTTGTGTTTGTTAGAGAAGATATAGGAGGGAAAGCTGTGTGGCGCTCAATGACTGAGTCGACAGCTAGGAGTGAGTCGGAGAGGTGAATGATGAGCTCAGAATCAGTGGAGAGACTGGTGCTTTGTTCATATATTGCTGTCACCTTTCGCCACCTGAAGTGACCGACAATGGCGGCGATGCACTGCATGTGGGTTGCGAGATCGTTACTCATCTGGATGAAAGATGGTGGTTGTGGTGGCAGAAGTGGTGGAGATATGGGTGGTATTGGGGCTATGGACATGATGGGGATGTCTTTGGTGACATTGTTTAACTCACGGACCACAGAAGCTTCATGCAAGGTCAATGGTCCAACTATGGCTTCGGCATGTTTGCGGTCGATGAGGTCAATTGCTGCAACAGTGTGGTCAAATTTAGCCTTTGGAGTTTGAGCAATGCTACTTGGAGTTTTGGAGAGTGAAATTAGAGATGGTCTTATTTGGACATAATTTAATAACGAGCATAGACTTTAAAAATAGAATTAAAAAGCATGTGAGAAATTAATGCATTATGACTATTATACTAGCACTAGATTGTCAACATTAATGATATTTATTGCTCTTAATTAATAAATTATGAGCAATGAATTCAAGTAAAAAAAAGTGTATAATTGGGTTTCTCAATAAATACATGGTGTGTTGTCTACCAAAAAGAGAATGTAGGGGAAAAACAAAAGGATTGCGAGGGATTTGAACTCTGATGGTTATAATGCATTAAGTTTGAAATTAAGTGTTTATCAGTTAAATAAAAGTAGCATTATTGCTCTTAGTTGAAATTCTCGTCTCCATGAAAATAAATAATTGGAATTATTGCTTGTATGAAAATGAAAAGATTTTCATACCAACAGTTGACTAAGGGCTAGTGGATGGAAATGGTCAAAAAATTACAAGCAGTTGGTGGGGTGTACACCACCTACCGAATGAGCTATCAATAAACCAAGCCCTTCAATTAGAGGTGATCAGTAATAGAGATGTCAATGGGACTCGTAAATGAATGTCATGCTCTATTGAAAGGCATTTTAACATCATCGTTCCCTATTATTTATGTGCCCTATTGTTCATGTTGTATTAGTTCGTCGTATCAAAAAATACTAGTTTGATGTTGGGTCAGCCCCTCTCGGTTTTTTGTTCCTTTTTTTCTTGGGAGAATTATTCTTAAATCCCCTCAAATATTATATACAGACTCCCTGAAATTTTTATACGCACATAACACTTAGATCCCTTGTCATTAAATATCTATTAGTAAATTACACTCAAATTCCTTGAAATTTAGAGACGTATAATACTTAGACCACTCAAGTTTAAAATACTATAATTAGACCAGAAATATTCCAATCAAAGATAANTCCTTTTTTTCTTGGGAGAATTATTCTTAAATCCCCTCAAATATTATATACAGACTCTCTGAAATTTTTATACGCACATAACACTTAGATCCCTTGCCATTAAATATCTATTAGTAAATTACACTCAAACTCCTTGAAATTTAGAGACGTATAATACTTAGACCACTCAAGTTTAAAATACTATAATTAGACCAGAAATACTCCAATCAAAGATAGAATATCAAATATTTTAAATTTTAAAACTAAAATTCATATTCTATTGTATTATTTATTAAAATAAATCAAAAATAACAAAATAATTTTTTCTTAAAAAATCATAATTATTATACAATTATATTATCATTGGAATAAAACTAAAAAAATCAAATAAGGGGTCTAAGTCATCCATAATATTTTTTTTAAGTCATCCATAATGTAACATGAATTTTACAACCAAAATTCATGTTATATTATGTTATTTATTGAAATAAAATTAAAATAAAAAATCTATTTTTTTTAAAAAAAATCATAATTAGTATACAATTATATTATTTGTATTCAATATTTTAAATGTTAGAGAGTCTGAATGATTAAGTGATAAATTCCAAGAGATCTGAGTATAATTCAACTTTTTTTTAACAACCCAGAATATAGGAGCATACGAGAAAGTGCGCTTAAAATGGAGCATCGAAATTGCATTTTGGTGCATTGTTTTGGTTATTTAAGAAATAGAAATATTTCGACAATGTTCCAAAAACATACTAAAAACGAATAAATAATTTAAAAGTATCTTTCCAAAATATTAGTCCAAACATATCAAAGAAACACCTTGAAATACTTTAAAATATGCCCAAATAATTGTGAAAACACCTTAAAATATTTCAAAACACCTTAAAACAATGGAGTTTCAATTCCNAATTCAAGTCTTATTTTTTTCAAATTGAGCTCGGGTTGAATTTGGATTAGCCGCCCTCGCCTAATTTTATGATACAAACTGGCAAGATATCATAAAAACACAAATAGACATTACCAATCCTCTGTCCCTTGTGGTGNAGTCAACTGGTTTTTGTTTTTTTGGCGAGGGTCGTTACCGATACTTACAATGATTCTTCGAATCTTCAACTATGATTTTAATATACTGTTATAAATTACAATATGTTAAATTTCCTTGATATTTCTCTAACTCGAGGCTTAAAGTTCTTTTGTAGGCAATTTATCACTGTTGTTGTAATTATTTTTATTATTTTTTTGTACAAAAAAAAATAATATTTTTGTGGATAATTTATCATTTTTGTGAGTATTTTTAATATTACTGTAATAAATATTTTTATCACTTTTTTTCGATATNACTGGTGCTTTGTTCATATATTGCTGTCACCTTTCGCCACCTGAAGTGACCGACAATGGCGGCGATGCACTGCATGTGGGTTGTGACATCGTTACTCATCTGGATGAAAGATGGTGGTTGTGGTGGCAGAAGTGGTGGAGATATGGGTGGTATTGGGGCTATGGACATGATGGGGATGTCTTTGGTGACATTGTTTAACTCACGGACCACAGAAGCTTCATGCAAGGTCAATGGTCCAACTATGGCTTCGGCATGTTTGCGGTCGATGAGGTCAATTGCTGCAACAGTGTGGTCAAATTTAGCCTTTGGAGTTTGAGCAATGCTACTTGGAGTTTTGGAGAGTGAAATTAGAGATGGTCTTATTTGGACATAATTTAATAACGAGCATAGACTTTAAAAATAGAATTAAAAAGCATGTGAGAAATTAATGCATTATGACTATTATACTAGCACTAGATTGTCAACATTAATGATATTTATTGCTCTTAATTAATAAATTATGAGCAATGAATTCAAGTAAAAAAAAGTGTATAATTGGGTTTCTCAATAAATACATGGTGTGTTGTCTACCAAAAAGAGAATGTAGGGGAAAAACAAAAGGATTGCGAGGGATTTGAACTCTGATGGTTATAATGCATTAAGTTTGAAATTAAGTGTTTATCAGTTAAATAAAAGTAGCATTATTGCTCTTAGTTGAAATTCTCGTCTCCATGAAAATAAATAATTGGAATTATTGCTTGTATGAAAATGAAAAGATTTTCATACCAACAGTTGACTAAGGGCTAGTGGATGGAAATGGTCAAAAAATTACAAGCAGTTGGTGGGGTGTACACCACCTACCGAATGAGCTATCAATAAACCAAGCCCTTCAATTAGAGGTGATCAGTAATAGAGATGTCAATGGGACTCGTAAATGAATGTCATGCTCTATTGAAAGGCATTTTAACATCATCGTTCCCTATTATTTATGTGCCCTATTGTTCATGTTGTATTAGTTCGTCGTATCAAAAAATACTAGTTTGATGTTGGGTCAGCCCCTCTCGGTTTTTTGTTCCTTTTTTTCTTGGGAGAATTATTCTTAAATCCCCTCAAATATTATATACAGACTCCCTGAAATTTTTATACGCACATAACACTTAGATCCCTTGCCATTAAATATCTATTAGTAAATTACACTCAAATTCCTTGAAATTTAGAGACGTATAATACTTAGACCACTCAAGTTTAAAATACTATAATTAGACCAGAAATATTCCAATCAAAGATAAAATATCAAATATTTTAAATTTTAAAACTAAAATTCATATTCTATTGTATTATTTATTAAAATAAATCAAAAATAACAAAATAATTTTTTCTTAAAAAATCATAATTATTATACAATTATATTATCATTGGAATAAAACTAAAAAAATCAAATAAGGGGTCTAAGTCATCCATAATATTTTTTTTAAGTCATCCATAATGTAACATGAATTTTACAACCAAAATTCATGTTATATTATGTCATTTATTGAAATAAAATTAAAATAAAAAATCTATTTTTTTAAAAAAAATCATAATTAGTATACAATTATATTATTTGTATTCAATATTTTAAATGTTAGAAGGTCTGAATGATTAAGTGATAAATTCCAAGAGATCTGAGTATAATTCAACCTTTTTTTAACAACCCAGAATATAGGAGCATACGAGAAAGTGCGCTTAAAATGAAGCATCGAAATTGCATTTTGGTGCATTGTTTTGGTTATTTAAGAAATAGAAATATTTCGACAATGTTCCAAAAACATACTAAAAACGAATAAATAATTTAAAAGTATCTTTCCAAAATATTAGTCCAAACATATCAAAGAAACACCTTGAAATACTTTAAAATATGCCCAAATAATTGTGAAAACACCTTAAAATATTTCAAAACACCTTAAAACAATGGAGTTTCAATTCCATCACCAATTCATTTCAATCTCCTTGAAAGTGAAAACACTTCAGCTATTTCAAAACGATATTTTGATCTTTAATTACTTAAAGATTCAAAGAGTTAAAAGAATGGAAAGAAAAATCATTGTACATGGAAAAGTTTGGCTCAATTCTCAGATTGAACAACAATACTGCAATATTCCAATGGGAAATGGCATATGATATTCTTATTATGCTAAGAAAAGAATCTGATTTTTTCGAGCATTGTTATTTTTGGACTTAGATTACTGACCCCCCATTACTGGCTAGGAACCGCTATCAATATAATGGTGATGATGTATTAGATCGATAAGTAAAGTTAGAAAATTAAATCCAAATAGTATTTTTTTCATATATTTCAAGAGTGAGAAGGCTACTTTACCGGCATAAGCCGCTTGAGCTGAGTTCCCATAAGAATCCTTGAGGTTGATCAGAACCAACTCAGAACCTGTTGACAACTGATGCAAATCATGAACAGCCATCTCCATGGCTAATTTCTGCTCCTTACCTACACGACTGCTCGTATCGACAACACCACCTATACTCATAGGTATCCGGTGGGGGCTCACCGGACCACTGTCCTCTTTGTTCACCGATTGTTTTGAATGTTGCACCAGTAATAGGAACCCTAAAAGGAAGGAGAGCACAAGGGTAGACATTTTCTCTTTCCAGAGGTTCTCCTTCTTTGAATGAAAAGTGATATAAAACCTTTAATTCTCAAGTTTCTAAAATGGGCTTAACCTAAAGTTATTGCTTGACAATCAAGTGCTTGACTCAGTCCAAATGCTTTGTTTTTTTGAACAGTCATAAAGACTTTTGTTAGGCATATGGTTACTTGAGAAAGCAGAAGTATAAACGAAAGTTCTCATGGATTTCCTCTAATTGGTAAAAGTCAACTGGTTTTTGTTTTTTTGGCGAGGGTCGTTACCGATACTTACAATGATTCTTCGAATCTTCAACTATGATTTTAATATACTGTTATAAATTACAATATGTTAAATTTCCTTGATATTTCTCTAACTCGAGGCTTAAAGTTCTTTTGTAGGCAATTTATCACTGTTGTTGTAATTATTTTTATTATTTTTTTGTACAAAAAAAAATAATATTTTTGTGGATAATTTATCATATTTGTGAGTATTTTTAATATTACTGTGATAAATATTTTTATCACTTTTTTTCGATACTATAACAGTGATAAAAATACATATAAATATAATAAATGTCAATGCGATACTATTTTTTTTAATACAGTAGACAAGTCCCTAAAATGAACTTAAAGTTTAATTATTGTTTCACAATCAAGTCCTGACTCGGTCCAAATATACATATTCAGAGATAGATAAAGACTTGAGAAAGAGGGAGTAGTATAAATGAAAGTTCTCATGAATTTCCTCATATGTTACAAAAGTCAACTAATTTTTTATTTTTATTTTTTTGAAAATTGACCAAAAATACAATGACGTAGTCTTTTAAGTCATTAAATCCAAGCAGAGTTTTTTTTAAGGCATTAAGGCCATGTTCAGATGCTTTTTTTTGTTCTCCCCCTGTTCTTTTAAAAAAAATTGACATGAAAGAAGATTTCTGGTTTAATTGACAACTTGATTTTATGTAGGGCTGCAACTCAGACAAGTTGAGAGGTCAACCCTAATCCTAATTCTAACCTGACCTCAATCCGAGGTACTTAACTCGAGTATTGCCCGAGTATTATTTGGGTGGGTTTGGGTTGAATTTGAGTTATTTAATTCAGACTGATTTCGGGTTAATTCAGACGAATGAGAGAAAGACTGAGAGTCTGAGACCATACAAGAAAAGAGTGATGAGTAAGAAAGGGATCTAAGAGTGATGGAGGCGCAGAGGTGAAGAATTGAAGTGAAGTAAAAGTCTGGATTCTGAAGAGTGAAGATAAATATTAACCCTAGTTAAATATATTTATATATTTATGTATATTTGGATTCAATCCGATTTAACATTCAAGTTGAACCCAACAACTCGAGACCTTTACCTGAGGCTTGCCCGAACTCAATTCAGGTTAGGGTTTTTTAGCTCAGGTCAACCCAAATATTAAAAATTTTAATTCAAGTCTTATTTTTTTCAAATTGAGCTCGGGTTGAATTTGGATTAGCCGCCCTAGTTACACGCCTAATTTTATGATACAAACTGGCAAGATATCATAAAAACACAAATAGACATTACCAATCCTCTGTCCCTTGTGGTTTCTAGGGGAAAAACAAAATTAAATGTTATGATTTCTTGCTAACTCAATGCCCATCAAATTCGCCTCCTGGGCATCAGACACATTCATTTGGTCCTTTGTTCTTCTATTGAAGCTTTCTCTAAAGAACTGACATCCAAATCTCGCGTAGCATAGAATGAGGAGCAAAGAAGCCCATCTGCAAACTCTTGTGCTGATCAGTGATGCTTGAATAAAGCCGGTTATCGGCTGGCGCCTCTTGAGAAGACGAGCAATGGTGATTAACAATGCAGCTGAAGAAATGCCACCTGAGATTAGGAACAAACCGGAGAAAGGCTCGTAGCCTAAGCTTGGGTCATCGGATATGCCAACTGACGAGGAGCAGTTTGAAAAGGAAAGCATCTGTTTCTCCAATGTGTTTATCTCTCCACTTTGTATTACCTTGAGAATTGCCTCTGAAATATCAGTGACGAAAGGAGAACCCTGTTGAAAGACCTGAGAAGAGAATGAGAAACAAATTTAAGAGTAATTAGTTTAGTGTACAAGCAAATGGGGAAACTTGATTTAACTCGAGAATCAAAATTCATGAATTTCACCTGATTTGAACTTCAAGTATAACATGTGTTGTATTACACGAAAATCAGATTCCAGTAAAAACTCGAATTCAATCCAAATAAATACCAAACCTCATTTGGTACAACTAGAAAAGGGTTTACCATGCATATCACAGTGAAAATCAGACCGAATAGAGGATTAGTTGAAGTGTATGTAAGTTGCCCAGTACTTTGAACTCAAAAAAAAAAAAAATGAAAATTGGATCGAAAATCAAGGAGGTGAAAAATTGAATATTACAAAACCAAAACCGCCAAGCTTGAAGCTATCCCCAGCCTTGGTATAGCCATCACAATATGTTGCAAGGAAGACTTTGGCGTGTGGATCCACAAAAAAAGCTGCTTTAATCTCTTCTCTTTGAAAGTTTTCTGGGTAGTCATTAATTGAATTGATGCTCTTGATATTCTCTTGCTTGAAATTCAAAACATTCACCAAATATCCCTTGATAAAAGAGTTCCCATCGCACCCAACAGTTGCGTTTGTTCTTTGAAGGTATTCAATGTCTATTTCGGATGCTTGGAGCCTTTGGACAGTCATCATGGAGCTAAGAACTGCAGTGAAACATGCTGAGACTATCACAATTACAAATAACCATGTTGCTAGCACGACCCGAGATAGGTTGTTTTTAATGGATTCTCCTGCAAAATTTGGCCATGTATAAGCAAGTGAAAAACAAAAACATTTTGCATATTATGAAAGAGCAATGCTAGGGATCCCAAATAGAATCCCAATGACTCTAAAGTCTAGACCCTTGGATCAGTGGGTGTCTTGAACTTTTTCCAACGAAATCCATTCATCCAACGACTTACTCATTTGGGATTCTAAATTTAGGATATGTTGGTGTGTGAAATCAAAAAGAGTGAATCGTGAGAGTTGAGTGTGTTTTGTGTGTTAATGAATGAGCTGTGTGTATGTGTGTGACTTGATTAACCGTAAGCAAGAACGCAAAGGAATAAGTGGTTTTATCAATCTGAAGAGTGAGGCTAGTTCATTGTAATGGAGTCTCTAACTCTTCTGGTTTGTTTTGCTTGATGAAGAAGACGATTACACTCTTGGAAATACAATTGCACATACATTTACAAGGTAAGAGTCTGCCCATTTATACATTTGGGGTAGTGTGGCCTCCTAGTTTGTTAAAATATTTGAAAGAATATTTGGTCTTTAAAGACTTTTTTTCCTAAGTATGATGTGACATTCAAGAAGTTATGATGTGGTATTTTAGAGGTGGTGACTTCTTCCACAAGACATGATTTAATAGTATAATTCATCTTATGTCCTTTTTTCAATCTAAAATGACTTGTTTCAGTAGTTGTTGATGAGACACTTTTGAGAAGGGATAGGATTCTGACACGTGTTCTTAGTTCCGAGGGCACCTCCTTATTCTGATGAAGCCACGCATCCTCGGGACCAAAAGCGCCCTTTGTTTCCATTCTAACACGTGTCCTCGGCAGTGAGGCACGACCTTTGTTTGACACTACCATGTGTCCTCGACACCTAGGGTACCTCCTGTACCTTGGTACTGCCAAGTGTCCTCAACACCGAGGGCACCTCCTCTAAGGTACAGTCACATGTCCTGGATTAGGCAGACATTGAAATGTTGAAAAATAGACTTAAGAAAGGGATTTAGAAGAAACCTAAGACTGTTCTCAAAAGAAGCAGCAAAGAAATAGACCTTCTTAAGCACGATGGAGTCATATTGAAGGTCTACGTGAGGAGACTAGTATTGCATAATCCTAGGGAAGACGAAGCTAGCAGAAAGAACACTTAGGTAAGGAGGGGTAACCTCACTAAAACCTACTAAGTCTGAAGCATGAGGGGAAAGCTTGGCGACCCCAGCACTACCAGAGGTTCCAGCCTCGCCTTTCTTGGCTTTCCCTTTTCAGGATGCCTCAAACCTCGGGGTAGGTCCTAAAAGAGGTAAAAGGATCTCTACCTCGTCCACATCAACGGTAAAATTGTCTATCTCATCCCCATATCCCCCAAATCATCCTCGTCTAGCTCGAGAGATTGATCTCCCATAGCTAAAGAGACAGAGGAGGCAGTGGTCTCAAATGAATCAAACATGGAAGCGTGGAGGAAAGGAAAACTAAATGAGACGTAAAGAGGAGGAACGTTGCTAAAACAATCTTCGAGAGCCCTGGGATCAAGGCTCCAATGACCAAAGAGGAAAACCATAGTAATAGTGTAAGAGTCTAAGAAGAGTGGAAGAAAAGATAAGGAATGACCTCGACTCCTAAAGAAGCAAAAACGAACAGTTCAAAAATGAAGCAACCACCTCAAATCTGAGAAATCCATAATGAATAGAGGCCTAAAAAGAAAGAGAGGAACATAGCAAAAGACGTACCTAGATGAGGGCAATCAACAATCAAAGACCCAGGATAGATCCAAGGAATGGACTAAGCTAGCCTCGCAGAATTTTTGGAATGAATTTGGAAAATTGCCAGTAAAACCCTAGATTTCCAATAGATTGGGGAAGACGAAATTGCGAAGGAAGAGGAAAAGGAGAAAAATCTAGAGAAAGAATGCGAAGGAAATTCAAAATGATAAAGAAGGCGATTTTCGTCTGCTGATGCATTTAAGGCGAACATACAAGACACATGGAAACAGGGGGATGAGGGACGTGCACGAGAAATGATTGCATGTTCGCAACACCGTAATAGTTGAGAAACACCCGATTGTTCGCATCTCAAGGTCGATCCTAGACAACCTCGCTCACAGAGGTCAAAACTCAGTCCCAGCTCATATAACTTTATTTGACCAGGGACTAGGGGCAACTGATGATACCTTAAATATGCTTAAGGATGAGTTCGGTAATTCAGGTCATGCTTTCCTAGATCAGGAGCCCAACTCGCTTTAGATGCCCATGAAGCTCGAGGTCAAACCTCCCATCCCTAAAACTGCGACTCAAGGAGGGTAGCACAGAAGATAGCTGGCTTCCACCTAAGTGCCACCCAGATAGTAACAGTCGCATATCCAGACAGAAGAGTCGCAACTGACCCAACACCCTCCACAATCGTTGCAGGATAGTAGCAACCGTTACAAGGAGAACCAAGAATCTCGTCAAAGATCAATCAAAGCTCAGAATCAACAATAAATAAGGGGCATAACCCCCAACAGAACACATACAAGCCATTATAGCCTAAACAAATATTCTGTAAACTCATTTCTTATCAATATACGTCCCAAGAGCAATAGACTCCCTTAAAAGTGGATTAGTCGAACTCCCGAACTAATAAACTACTATAAACTCTCTGTGTTAATTATTTATCCCTTGTCCAGATTTTAAAGAGCTTAGGAGCTCAAACTGAGTTGCTCAATGCCCATCAATTTCCTATCTCTATTTTATCGTACTAAATAAATCATCAAATTTGATTTGTGGTAATGGTCACAGGGACTCTACAACCTTGTTCTTAGATTTTTTTTTTTTCTTAGAAGGATTAACAGGTCTCTATTCTCCCTTTTTCTCTTTATGAACCGAGCTACCATAGCTACGGCTTTTTTATTTCGTGACTGGTGCCCAGATCCTCGAGCTATCGAGGATTGCTCATTGATTTGATGTAAAGACAAAGTTATAGTATTATATATTAAGATCACAAAGAGTTCTTTGAAACAAAATGCCAATAAATCTGAAGTCTCAAATACCCTTGTTTGCTAATGGAATTAGATAAAAAAAACAGACTTCAAAAACATTATCAATTTTTTATTGGGGACTCATAAATGAGTCCAAAAAAATTGTCCCAGTCCCAACTCGGAAGCCCATGGACTAAGGGTCAGAGAATTTCCTAACAAAAATTCAATAAATTTCATGTCAGAGTGTGTACGAAATCGAAGCTGAACACAAGACATTATCAGTATGAAACTCTTTCAACCAACTTTATAATGAAAAAAGAAAGATAATCANAGACATTGAAATGTTGAAAAATAGACTTAAGAAAGGGATTTAGAAGAAACCTAAGACTGTTCTCAATAGAAGCAGCAAAGAAATAAACCTTCTTAAGCACGATGGAGTCATATTNAGACATTGAAATGTTGAAAAATAGACTTAAGAAAGGGATTTAGAAGAAACCTAAGACCGTTCTCAAAAGAAGCAGCAAAGAAATAGACCTTCTTAAGCACGATGGAGTCATATTGAAGGTCTACGTGAGGAGACTAGTATTGCATAATCCTAGGGAAGACGAAGCTAGCAGAAAGAACACTTAGGTAAGGAGGGGTAACCTCACTAAAACCTACTAAGTCTGAAGCATGAGGGGAAAGCTTGGCGACCCCAGCACTACCAGAGGTTCCAGCCTCGCCTTTCTTGGCTTTCCCTTTTCAGGATGCCTCAAACCTCGGGGTAGGTCCTAAAAGAGGTAAAAGGATCTCTACCTCGTCCACATCAACGGTAAAATTGTCTATCTCATCCCCATATCCCCCAAATCATCCTCGTCTAGCTCGAGAGATTGATCTCCCATAGCTAAAGAGACAGAGGAGGCAGTGGTCTCAAATGAATCAAACATGGAAGCGTGGAGGAAAGGAAAACTAAATGAGACGTAAAGAGGAGGAACGTTGCTAAAACAATCTTCGAGAGCCCTGGGATCAAGGCTCCAATGACCAAAGAGGAAAACCATAGTAATAGCGTAAGAGTCTAAGAAGAGTGGAAGAAAAGATAAGGAATGACCTCGACTCCTAAAGAAGCAAAAACGAACAGTTCAAAAATGAAGCAACCACCTCAAATCTGAGAAATCCATAATGAATAGAGGCCTAAAAAGAAAGAGAGGAACATAGCAAAAGACGTACCTAGATGAGGGCAATCAACAATCAAAGACCCAGGATAGATCCAAGGAATGGACTAAGCTAGCCTCGCAGAATTTTTGGAATGAATTTGGAAAATTGCCAGTAAAACCCTAGATTTCCAATAGATTGGGGAAGACGAAATTGCGAAGGAAGAGGAAAAGGAGAAAAATCTAGAGAAAGAATGCGAAGGAAATTCAAAATGATAAAGAAGGCGATTTTCGTCTGCTGATGCATTTAAGGCGAACATACAAGACACATGGAAACAGGGGGATGAGGGACGTGCACGAGAAATGATTGCATGTTCGCAACACCGTAATAGTTGAGAAACACCCGATTGTTCGCATCTCAAGGTCGATCCTAGACAACCTCGCTCACAGAGGTCAAAACTCAGTCCCAGCTCATATAACTTTATTTGACCAGGGACTAGGGGCAACTGATGATACCTTAAATATGCTTAAGGATGAGTTCGGTAATTCAGGTCATGCTTTCCTAGATCAGGAGCCCAACTCGCTTTAGATGCCCATGAAGCTCGAGGTCAAACCTCCCATCCCTAAAACTGCGACTCAAGGAGGGTAGCACAGAAGATAGCTGGCTTCCACCTAAGTGCCACCCAGATAGTAACAGTCGCATATCCAGACAGAAGAGTCGCAACTGACCCAACACCCTCCACAATCGTTGCAGGATAGTAGCAACCGTTACAAGGAGAACCAAGAATCTCGTCAAAGATCAATCAAAGCTCAGAATCAACTATAAATAAGGGGCATAACCCCCAACAGAACACATACAAGCCATTATAGCCTAAACAAATATTATGTAAACTCATTTCTTATCAATATACGTCCCAAGAGCAAGAGACTCCCTTAAAAGTGGATTAGTCGAACTCCCGAACTAATAAACTACTATAAACTCTCTGTGTTAATTATTTATCCCTTGTCCAGATTTTAAAGAGCTTAGGAGCTCAAACTGAGTTGCTCAATGCCCATCAATTTCCTATCTCTATTTTATCGTACTAAATAAATCATCAAATTTGATTTGTGGTAATGGTCACAGGGACTCTACAACCTTGTTCTTAGATTTTTTTTTTTTCTTAGAAGGATTAACAGGTCTCTATTCTCCCTTTTTCTCTTTATGAACCGAGCTACCATAGCTACGGCTTTTTTATTTCGTGACTGGTGCCCAGATCCTCGAGCTATCGAGGATTGCTCATTGATTTGATGTAAAGACAAAGTTATAGTATTATATATTAAGATCACAAAGAGTTCTTTGAAACAAAATGCCAATAAATCTGAAGTCTCAAATACCCTTGTTTGCTAATGGAATTAGATAAAAAAAACAGACTTCAAAAACATTATCAATTTTTTATTGGGGACTCATAAATGAGTCCAAAAAAATTGTCCCAGTCCCAACTCGGAAGCCCATGGACTAAGGGTCAGAGAATTTCCTAACAAAAATTCAATAAATTTCATGTCAGAGTGTGTACGAAATCGAAGCTGAACACAAGACATTATCAGTATGAAACTCTTTCAACCAACTTTATAATGAAAAAAGAAAGATAATCCTTTGAATTAGTTCAAGTTGGGACTTACTTTGGGAAAAGGAGAGAACAGTTATAGAAAACCAAAGCATTTCTCCAATTTGGTGAGGAAATGAAGTTCTATACTCTGGATTGTTGTTTACATGCTCAATGAACCAGACGACAAACCCTACGGATATGCTTATTGTTGCCATCAAAACCCACATTTTCGTTGTAAAGGCCTTCAAGAACAAAAACCTTTCGTTCTTTGAATCTGGTTTCACACTCACCACCATTACAAGTCCAGAATCCAGGTAGGGCTGGGAAAATTCTGCAAGCTTGTATCGCTCTGCCATTATATCTGTATCACCTACTGCTGCATCCAAGCTCTTTTTTTTTTTTTGTCACATAGGAAATATTCATCAGTGTCAATCAAAATACAACAAACAGAGCAATCAATGGGGGAGAGGGTTGAAAGCACAGTTTGTCACGACTTTTAAGTCTTATATGATCAACTCAACAGAATCTTGTTTCGATATGTTTAACATTGACTACATGAATCATGTTTCACCATTGTGTTTTGCCACGATTTTATACTAGCTATATGTGGTGCAGGACACAAGGGTATTCATAATAAACTTTAAAAAAAAAACAATAAATCACTTTGTTACATTTGCACAATTGGAAGATTGGAGGACTATACGAGCTGAAATCCAATTGCTAATTATTTTAAGTTGCAATCATGTTTGAGTTTACTTTCTAACACAGGGCCAAGCTCGCTTTATCTAGTCAAACATCTGGACCATTTGAGCCTTAGTATGAAACAAAAAATAAAAATACAAGTTGTACTTGTACAACGTATTTGAAGCTCGCCACGATCCCAAGTCAAGCCTAAGCTCTCTTTGTGAATGAACTAGCCGAGCCCAACTAATCGAGTGTGGTTTAGTCTGGTTCCTTTTTGCCACTACTCTTTCTGTTGGTGAAATTTCAATAAAATTGAAAAACAAAATACAAAATAGTAAAACTTGACATGAAATAAATTAGATTGAAGTGCTTGTATCTTGCTCTCTTTAACTCTCATGCATATATACATAATGTTTACCTACGTACATTGTACATGCATTTCATAAATATAATTCATGCATAATAAGAGTTATGAATACATGTACCCAATGATCCATTAATCCACTGTCAGTCCAATAAAAATGATAATGAGGTCAGTAAATTTGGCCCCTAAATTTAGGTCCAACAAGGATGGCAAAGAATCAAACTCATGTTGTCTCACATTGATCTGATATAAATGATGTTAATGGAATGAAAGACATACCTTTTTATGAACTTCAGCTACCATTTCATCATACGAGCCATTCCAGGGAACGAACACATATGACAAGTCATAACGTAGCCTCTTCACAGCAGCTTTAAAAACGTCAATTGAAAATCCGGTCACCTTCGTTTTATTCGTACTTGGATCATACCAAACATTCACAAACTGGGTGAAAGCACCCCTCGCCGGAACGCCGATCTTCAACCGTGTCTCTCCCTCACCTAAACTCCATCCCTTTGGCACCGTTCGCTCACGGCCTGGCCAATAAATTGAATCCAAGTCTCCAACTAAACCATTGCCAATTCTCTTCTTCATTTCATCCTGTTTGATGAAGTCCTCAGAGAAACCAAATACTAGTGACCAGAATGCCACTTCTCTATAGCTTTTACCAATCACATTTATGATCCTAAAGGTTGGTAATTCTGATAATCGGCCTTTATTGAATCTTATTCTTCCAGATAAACCTTCAAAATCACTAGACAAAATGTGATTTACTAACCCTTTTGGTTTTCTCTCTCTTTGAGAAATTTGCATGGCTTTAGCAATGGCCCATGTTGCATCATAAGCTCGAAGTGCAAATATACTTGGGTCTGGATGTTCCTCTTCTTCTGGGTGTTCTGACGTAAAATTCCTGCGAAATCTAATTCTAAACTGTCTATAAGACTCAGTAGTGTCTATGAAGTTGGTCTTCAAACCAATTACACCTTGCATGTTAGAAATGACGGATGGACCAACAGAATCAAGAAGGCTTGCAATGTCATCTGAAACAATCCATACGTACCCTTTCCCCATCATTCCCATTTGCTTTGCCTTCTCGAAAAGAATGGCGGCAAAGTCTAAAGAAGACTGTATGAGTATAAACACCCTATTGCTCTTGCTTCTGAGCTTCTTCAGCTCTTCTTCAATAAAGAGTCTTGGGTTTGTAAGAGAAGATATAGGAGGGATACCTATGTGGCGCTCAACGACTGAGTCGACGGCTCGGAGTGAATCGGAGAGGTGAATGATGAGGCCAGAGTCGGTGGAGAGTCTGGTGCTTTGTTCATATATTGCTGTCACCTTTCGCCACCCGAAGTGACCGACAATGGCGGCGATGCAATGCATGTGTGTGGCGACATCGTTACTCATCTGGATGAAAANTTCATATATTGCTGTCACCTTTCGCCACCCGAAGTGACCGACAATGGCGGCGATGCACTGCATGTGTGTGGCGACATCGTTACTCATCTGGATGAAAGATGGTGGTTGTGGTGGCAGAAGTGGTGGAGATATGGCTGTTGGAGCAATGGAGATGATGGGGATGTCCTTGGTGACATTGTTCAATTCACAGACCACAGACGCTTCATGCAAGCTCAATGGTCCAACTATGGCTTCTGCTTCTTTGCGGTCGATGAGGTCAATTGCTGCAACAGTGGAGGCAAATGTAGCCTTTGGATAGTCAAATTAGAGATGAGAAGTCATTAATTTGAGTCCTTAATGTTTCAAGATCCACTATAATATTTTTTTTTCTTCTATTTTTCTATTTAATACATCACCCACTTACATATTATGGATTATGGGTTGAGTAATGCTTATGCTATACTGAAAAAACAAAAGAACATAAATTGTGGCATTACCATAATTAAAAATTTTTATTTTCAAATTTTTAAAAATGGGACCGAAAATACTATTCTGATAAGATGACGATATTTCATCCTTATTTTTGGTCTTTTATTTTTTATCAGTTTAGTATTTTGAGTTTAGCTTGAAAATATTAGTAGTCCAAGACAGACGACCAAATATCAAATCTTAGGGCAATGTTATTGAGATTTTATTTACTGACATAATTTGGTAATCTAATTTATTATTACTTTTGGATTGATTGTGGATCCCACTAAATATTAGAACTTAATGTTAATCTAATTGTTCTAATAAAATCACATCATTAGGTCAACAAATTATGTCAAATTTTTAGATCTAAATCACATTACTCCAAATCTGAATATAGGCTTTGGTTCAAGTAGGTCTCAGAAAAAAAACAAGGACAATCTTAAATACATTTAAAACAGTAATGCTACGGTGACAAAATTTTAAGACTAAATTTGGAGCTCAAATGACATGACAGCTGACTTAAACTTCTTTATTTGGTACTATGTCATTTGAGCCCCCAATAAAGACTCAAAATAATATGATGTCATGTCATTTTGACTCCAAATTTGGTCAGCATAGTATTATTGAATTTAAAAACTTGATATGGAGAATTACTATCATTGAATAGGCAGTGGGACCCAATAAATAGTAGGACTCACAGTTAAATTAATGACAAATATAAGAGAAGAGCAATGCTATTGGCCATTGGGACCTAATTTACTTACATAATTCGTTAACTTAATTCACTGTGACCTTGAAATTGACTGTTGATATTATAAAACATTGGAACTTGGACTTGATAGTCACAATCATTGAATAGGTAGTGTATTTCAATAAATACTAAGACCCAGAATAAAATTAATGGTTGTGATTATCAAGTACACATATTAAGTCTATTTTTTAAGCCCATGTAGTATTACTCCTTAAACAATTGATTTAAAAATTTAACTTGATGATGTGATTATTATATTTAGAATAACGCTATAAGGACTTAAAAAATAAACTTGATAATCTTAATCATTGAACAGATAGTGAGTTTTAATAAATGTTAGGACCCACAATAAAGTCAATTATTGTAACTATTAAGTTTACTTTTTAAATATATTTTTTAAATCTATGTATTATTACTCACATGTAAATGATGTGAGTAATAGTGTGTAAATAGAGTCACATGTATCTATATATTTATACTCTTCAGTGCAGTGGCAAATTTACAGTGGGGACAGTTGCCTCCTCTGGAATTTTAAAAATTTTTGGGAATTAAGTATAATTTTTAAATTTTTAAAATTTATTAAATATTTGCCCCCGTTGAATTTTTTTTTTAAGATTTATAAGTATTTATGATATTTTGACAAATATATGGGTCACTTATAAATGTCAAAAAAATTCCTTTACAAGGCTAAATGCCTCCATTTTGTGTTAGATTAAATTATTTTAATTTGGTGTTTTGAATAATTTTATTGTGATTGGTTAATTAATTCTTATACTAAAGTTTAGTTTAATAGAATAGTCATAGTTTATATTTGTTTCGATTGGTTGTTAATATTCAATTATATATGATTGAAACAAAATTTTTTGTTAGGTGATTAGGTCTTATAGAAAAATTTATAGTAAACTATTTTTTGTTGGCTCTTTTTGTATAGCGCTCATGTATATAAGTTATTACTTTAATTGGCGTTCTATTAATGAAAGGATACTTTTGTGAACATTAGTAATTTGAAAAACAATTAATCACACCTCCTTGAGTTTATCATATCTTCAAAGACACCCCCCTTATTTTTTAAATCTTCAGTGACACCCCCTGTCATATTAAAAATATTAACTAGAATGCAATTTTACTAAATTGCCCATAATATAATTGATGACAAACTTCATCAACACTCCCTCTAGATAAACATATCTTTAATGAGACCCTCTCTGTTTTTTAATTTTTTTTTACGTATTAAAATTTGAACCGATTAAAATTCGATTCAAACTAATTAAAATTTATTTATTTACATATTAAAATTTGAGTCAATTAAAAATTATATTTTTTTTAAAATTTGGGCTAATTAAAATTTTATTTTAGCCAATTAAAAATTATTTTCAATCGACTCAAATCAAATTATTTGAGATTTATGTAGGAACATTTTTAATATTTTAGATAAATTTTTTTTTTTATAAATGATAGTTTAGGGGGACTTGACGGGTTGATCAGTTAAAAAGCCCGTTAGTCTGCCCGTTAGTCCAATAGAATATACCCATTGAAAGATAATTTAGATTATATTTTATAATTATATTATTTATTTGATATTTGATTATGTAACTTTTATAAGGTCGAAACTTGTAAATAATTGCAATAAATAATTGACAATTGTATAAGTGTCAATCTAGTTGAAATGTACTTAATTTGTAGGGATGCAAAATACTTTCACCAATCAATTAATTTGTAATATAACATTGTAACTTTATATGAATATTTGTTAAATTCAATCAATATGAATAATTTTTTTGTTAATTTATATTTTTATATTCATTTCATGTAATTTATGTCTTTTTGTAATTGTTATATAAAAAATAATTTTTTTGATATCTTTTTGTATTTTTTTACATAAAAAGTAATTTTTTAATAAAAAGCATGTTTTAGTGCCATAAAGCCCAGCCCGTTTTGGGCCCAATAGGCTTGCCCACGGGTGGGTTATTGGCCTTAAGGTGGGCCCCGCCCGGCCTGTTGACTAGTCAAAGCCCAGAGTCCCGACCCACGGGCTGGCTATGAGCTGAAAAATCCAAAGCTGGTCCTGCCCATTGTCGAGGCCTAGTACAATAACATAGGAATCAACTACGTTGTTGAAGAGTGTTTTTTTAAAAAGATATTGTTCCGAAGTTACTATAAAATACATGTCAATGTAAGAATCGAACATAATTAATTTGCTAATATGATAACACCTCAAGTGAAATGGCAAATGATATGCTCAACAGTTTTTTTTTTTTTTGAGTAATACTATTTATTTTTAAAAATTTGAAATAATGTATAGACTTAATGATATTTCACTAAAGCCTTTGGAGTAATACTAAATTTCAATTTTGATAAGACCCACATTCAATTATAATAAAATTTGTAATATAAAATAGGGTAGGTTTTAATAAGTTCATTCAACGATCTCAAATAAACTCCTCTAACGGTCACCAACATCCCCACTTTATTGATTTTAATTTATTTAATTAAAGCAAATTAAAGTAATTTTTTTCCCAAATTAACCAATTGGTTATGTTGCACCGTACCTTCAGGTACGAATTATCTCTAGTAAATCAATAATTTCTTTTTTTTTGATAATTTCCTCTTTAAAATGGTAGGGGTAAAGAAGAGCATTGAAAGACCACATCAATGGGCCCTCACTGATGAGATCATAAGGCCCCTGACTGTGTCTATTACTCCTCTCGAGAATGAACCTAATTAAGCTAGTATAGAGGTTAATCATCGAGCTCTAATGTAGACTCCAAGACTCGAACCTCCCTAACTGGTGAGATCATGAGGCCTCTGATTACGTCTATTACTCCTCTCGACAACGAACCTAGCTAAATTAGCATAGTAATCAACCACCAAACTTTAATGTAGACTCCAAAACTCGAACCTCCGACCATAAAATGAGAAGATCGA